ATAAATATGCATATTCATAAGAAAAAACAGATTTCCTTTAAAGTCATTTAATGTTTAAAGCATTACTTTATAGAGTTCATCACTATCCCAAATAGGTGAAGATATAGCATTTTTTTATGTAATGTTATTATGGAAGGACATTAGGCACTTGAGGATATAATTGACAGTATATTGATATACGTTCAAAACCAATATAGAATGTAATTTGCAAAAAAACTGTCGATGTGACGCAGGTTTCATTTTAATTCCAGTGCAATCCTCTCCTTAGATAGCAGATAAAGTATTTCTCCACCCTTCATTATTTTTCACTTAAGCTTTTATTGCCTCATTGTTTGGACTGTGATGCATCTGTGATTAAAGCTTCATAATGAAGTATCGCATTAGGAGGATGGAACTAAGTTAGACTCCGTTCAACTCCGGGGACATTACATCACAGCGGTCCCATTTTCACCAAATGACATTACGGCAGCAGTAGCGGAACCGTTTGAGCTATTAATCTGTTTTATTACCAGACTGTCAAAATACCGTGGCTCTCGTTGACAAAGAATCTGACACTGTTGAATGCAATTTGAATATATGAAGTGTTTTCCCAACCTCAGACCTAAGATCTGTTTCAAATGGATATCAGCACAAGGTGAGGCCTCGGCTCTAGAAAGACTCATAAAGATATAACTGAATTAAAGCTGCATTAAATCTCCTCCTCTTCCTCCCGCTCCTCTTTCTCTCACTTTGAATATCGCTCTTTGCATCCCCCTCTTTCTCCCGCCCTCCTTTTCTTTCTCACCTCTTATAACCCCCCCAACCTCTCATCTCAAACTTTATCTCTCTTCATATTTTGAGGCGGTGTTGTTTTTGTTTGTGCTTTAGTGTTTGGTTTTATTGAGACAATCCATCTCCGACGCGGCTGTCGTTGACTCTCAGGAGTTTTTTAATGTGTTGTGTCACATCGCGACGTCTTGTCTCTCTTTCTTAAAGGTATTTGTGTCTCACTGAGACAGGCTGGGATGATCGATGGTTGCGTATGCGTGTGTGTGTGTGTGTTTTTCCCGCTAGTATAACAGCTGTATCCAGCCCTTTCAGAAAGAGTTAGTGAAGCGCGTGTGTTTATGAGAGAAAGCGGCAGGTGCAGAGGACATATAACAACTCCTTGTTTCCTCAGAAATCCATCAGAAATCCCTTAAATACCAGAGAATTAGAAAGGCTCACGTTACTCTCAATTACTGCCAGACCTGGAGAGAAATCTCTCAAATTATCTTTTCAAATATCTAACCTCTGTACTGAGTGCATCTAAGTCACTAACAATGCCAAAGAAGGCATCCCTGAACAGGTATTACACAGTTGAGTTTCACTTCAAACTGAGCCCCCGATGGCTTTCCTGTTCTGCTTGAAACCTTTTTACATTTTTTTTCGTTTTGCCTTGATTACTCTCTCAATTATGTTAAACTAGTTGTTGCATGTGTCAGAAAGCTGTTCTCATTCATTACATCTGTTTCTGTCTTTCACACACACACACACACACACACAGACAGACATGCATACACACACAGACCACCAGCCTCCTCATTTGGTCTTAACTCCTCTCCAGCTGTGTGCCAATTTGCCTCCTCCAGAGTACGTGGGGTTTGGGAGGGGGTGATTAGGAGCTAGCACTGCATTTGAGCTAAGGTTTGCACTTGTGTGTGTGAGTGCGTGCATGTGTGTGTGTGTGTGCCAGTAATGGGTTCCATCCTCATTACCCCTTAATCCCCAGCTGCTGTGCAGTGCTGACTGGGTTCCTGGGGAGAGAATTCCAAACTTGCCACCGGATTTACAGTGGATTCCCTAAAGATTCCCACTGGATTTCCACCCCATTCCCAATATGTCAACTCTGAAGGCTGCAACTAATTATTATTTCTGCAACTAATTATTATTTCATTATCAATATATATATATATATATATATATATATATATATATATAAATGATCCTGAAAAGCGTTTGATTGTAAAGAATGCCGTCACATTTTCTGTGCCAAAGGTAACTTTTTTTAATTGCGAGTCAAAATTCAACAGTCCGAAAAGGCATTCTTTTATAATGAAATAAAACTGCAAAAGACCACTTAAAGTTACTGCAGGGAACTTTTACCTGGTTATGAAACAGTCTCAATTCAATGCTGATGCCTCTATATGACCTATAAGTAAGTAAATCAGACCATCAGCCAGACGATTGGTTATTTCTTTATAGTTTTCCTTCATTCCTGTCATCGGGTTAAATTCCACGCAAAATAAGACGAGACGATTGACAGCTCGCACGTCCACTAGAAACTCCTTCAGCTCCGGCAGCGAATAAGCACAAATTGGTCTGAGCCGTGCTACAGTAGGTAGTACAGCAGCTTATAGATGGAACCACTGAAAGATCACACAGGTGAAATAAGAGCTCGGTAATGAGGAACAATCACATTTTCCATGTTTCATCTGCCAAATTGTCTTTAAAATGACAGACAGAATACTGGCCTTTATGTTTCTTATCCTCGTCTTGTTTCATTCTTCTTCACGCCTCACGTCACTTCATTGACTTGTTCTCTCTATTTACAGGTTCATCACTAATTATTGTTGTAGTTGAGTTTTTTAAATATCTACTGTAGTGTCCTAATAAGTGATTGAAAGCCTAAGAATTTCGATAAATCACAGTGCATATTAAACAGTTAATAGATAAGTGAAGCATTTGTTCACAAAAGCTGCTGATGACTCTTAATTACCTGTACATCTTTAGAGGCAATGTCTTCTTTTGTTCCTGCCTACAGCTCCTTTATTGTATTTTTCTCACCACTTCAACACTCTTCTTATCCTTGTTTTTCATCAGCATCTCCCCCTCGTTCCTCCCCCTATACTTGTCCTTTCCTCTCCTTCTTACTTTCCATCTTATCTCTCTCTCTCTCCCTCCCTGCCCTGCCTTCTTCACCTCCCCGTCACCTCTCCACCGCTCTTATCTCTGCCTTGGTGACGTTATCGGTGCCAGGGGCCAAATTCTGAGTGACAGATTGACTGACTGATATGGGCAAAGGTATCCAGGCTCAGAGATAGCCAGCAAGCCACGCAGATTAGCCGGCATGCAGACTTGTAGTCATAAAGCCTCTAAAAGGAGAGCGAGCGAGCGAGGCAGTCAGACACATGGACAGACGGGGCAGCTGGCAGACTTGCGTGTTGGTAGAAGAGAAGCAGACAAAACGGCTGTGGCTATCAAGAAGGGAGACATTTGAGACATGTAGCTGATACGCATCACGCAGTCGGAGTGACTTACAATACGTGTAGCAGAACAAGTCGAAAACCAGAAGACAGTTATAGTTTGACAGATGAGAGAAGCAGAAATGTAATGTGTGTGTGTGTGTGTGTGTGTGTGTGTGTGTGTGTGTGTGTGTGTGTGTGTGTGTGTGTGTGTGTGTGTGTGTGTGTGTGTGTGTGTGTGTGTGTGTGTGTGTGTGTGTGTGTGTGTGTGTGTGTGTGAGTGTGACACACACTCTCGCGGCCGATATGGAGCCAGGAGGGGCAGAAGCAGACATCCCAAACATGATGGGCATGTAGTTAGTTATACACTCTCCGCTGCTGACCACCCAAATTGACACACACTGGCGTCAGCATGGAGACCACCAGCACTCTATGTGCGTGTGTGTGTGTGTGTGTGTGCGCTCTGTGCAAGTATTTATGTGCAAATCTGTGTTTGATTCAGTCTGGCTGTCCCGTGGTTGTGTGCACATCAACGTTTATCTCCAGGCAACAGGTCAGCTCTGTGATTGGTTGGAGGCCGCGGAGCCCCACCCACTCAGCTAAGCATATCGACGGTTAGTGTCATTAGGACACTCAGTGAGAGTAACACGCTCCCAACACATTTATACAGAAGTACATGCTTCAGTACACATTATTGTTGAAGTATATTCATCCAAACTGTGAGTCGGTAGGAATTTTATCAAAATTGAGAAAGTGCAGGATTTATTTAATAAATGCACATTTAATCTAGAATGTTCTGTATGTACGGAAACAAAGGAGCATAAATACATGAACAAAAATAGAATTCATTTTGACAAACATCAATGAAAGAAGGGAAAAGAGATGTAAAGGCCGACGGGTAGAATGAGAAAGGATGAATCAAATGTAGAGGGATCAAATGTAATACCTCGTACTGTTAGCTATGTGGACGACACATGTTTGTGTACTTGCTTTCCACTGGGCACAAGACATGGATATCTATTGACAGGATTGTACTGGATTACCACAGCTGTGTGTGTGTGTGTGTGTGTGTGTGTGTGTGTGTGTGTGTGTGTGTGT